AGTTAGATACAGCTAGGTGGCCAGAAGATAAGTGAATACACGGAAGTCTGGAGAAGCGGAGAGGGGCGCGCCGGGTGTCGGGTTGAGAGCTCCTGGTCCTCGACTTGTCCCTGGCTGGGGCAGGACGGTGGCCTTGGGTTCAGTCCAGGGCTGGGGCGGGAGAAGTCCGCCTTCTGGAAAGTTGTCCTGGTGGCAGAGTCAGAGGACTCGGCCCCTGGGACCCGAGTCTTCACCCGCTTCGTTCAGGCCCAGCATGGAGGCTCCGGGTTTCTGGAGGCTGCTGTGTAGGGCTTGAGAGCCCCAGTCACCGTCGCCGTCCGGTCCAGCTCAGGGCTGGGCGACAGTCCCCTTCCCTCCGGCCCTGGCACGACACTCTCCTAGCTGGCCTCCCAGACTCCAGCCTGGCTGGCTGCTGACTAGACAGTCTGCAAGGCACCGAACACATCCTGTGCTGAAAACCCCCAGTGCCCTCGTGGGCGGGGGTGCCGAGACCCGCTGTCAACCCTGTGGCCGCGGCGTTCGTGACGAGCTCCGCTCATGGTCCAGCCACATCGGAGAGAAAGGCCACCAAGGGCCAGGCCCGACCAGCCGTGGTGCTTGTGCTGCCCTTCGCACCCTCCGCTAATCTCCTGGAGAAGCTCCCACCTGGTGGCCTCCGTCAGTGCACCCCTGCGGCCCCCAGCCCTACCTCTGAGCGGATTCCTGTCGTGCTCCGAGCACACCCGCACCCTTGCCGCCCCAGACATTTGTCACACCTGCTAGGTTCACCGATGTGACGGGGCTGTGTGGTTTCTGGACGTGTATCCCCCAAGTCTCGCCCAAGTCTTGCACAGCACACACAGAGAGAGGTTCAGTAAATGTATATTGAATGAATCAAGGCACGGATTCCAAGGATCAAAAGTGAAGATTTAAGGGCCAAGGATAGTGGCTCAGGCCTGTAATCGCAGCACTTTGGGAGCCTGTGGTGGGAGGATCCCTTGAGTTCAACAGTTTGAGATCAGGCTGGGCAACACAGCAAGACCCCATCTCTACACAAAATTCAGTAATTAGCTGAGTGAGGTGGTGCACATCTGTGGTCCCAGGTACTCGGGAAGCTGAGATGGGAGGATTGCTTGAGCCCAGGAAGACTGAAGCTGTGGTGAGCTATGATTATGCCATTGCACTCCAGCCTGGGTTAACACTGTCTCTTTAAAAAAAGAAAGAAAGAAATGTCAGGCTGGCCTGTGGCATTTTAGGAGCTCACCAAGGCCATGAACCATATCTTTTTCACCTTGAATCCTGACAGCTAGCTAACAAGGTGGTGCTCCTTTTAAAAACGTGAATAAATTCAAGATGACAAACGGTGAAGTCAAGCCTTTGAGCTGTGGAGCCTCTCCTGCTTCAGTGGGGGTAGAGCAGTGGGCCTCCGGCCAGTCACTGAGAGAAATCTCTCAGCAGGCTTAGGAGGGTGTGTGTGGTGCTACAGACAATGAGGACGCCAAATCCGAGAGGTGTTTACTGTAATGAGTGTTCAAGGAGGGTGGGGTGGGGTGGGGTTCTCCCCATCTGATCCTCCAAGGCTGCGGGTGACTCATGCTTCCTTGGGCTCTGGGGTGGAGCTGACATACGTTCCCCCAGTTGGGCCCTGCTGCCCCTGGCCCCTGGCCTTCACAGCATCTCCAGCCACGAGAGCCACATTCCTCAGATAATTGATATTGAAGCAGTTGGCCTGTTCATCCCCTGGACTCAGGTCACAGCAGAGGGCAGGGTCTCGCCAGAAGTTACGTCGGGGACCACACAGATCATCGATGAAGGCTAATTTCTGATGAAGGAGAAGAGTAAGAGACAACGGGGAGGGAGAGAGGGGACAGGTCAGACATGGCATGGATGCCTGGGTGTCCAGTCCCCCTTCCATCAGCTTCGACTGCTCTCCCCTGGGATCCCTTCCTGGGGCCTAGTGAGAGTACAAGGATGCCTTGCACAGCTGATTCCTTGTGACTGACAGATGTGCACATCTGGAAATGCCAGAAGCTTGAGGCACAGAGAAGGCATAATAGGAACTTAGGGATAAGGGAGCAGGCCAGGTCAGGAGTGATGACTTCTGGAACCAAGGAAAAATATCTCCCTTACTAGTCCTCATTCTTTCTTTTAATTATTCATTTAGAGACAGGGTCAGCCGGGCTCGGTGGCTCAGCCTGTAATCCCGTGCCTTGGGAGGCTGAGGTGAGTGGAATGCCTGAGCCCGCGGGTTTCAGACCTGCCTGGGCAACTTGGTGAGACCTCATTTCTACAATAAATTAAAAAAAAATTAGCCAGGGAGGTAGCACATGCCTGTAATTCCAGCTACTTGGAAGGCTGAGGCGGAAGGATCGCCAGAGCCCCAGCAGGTCGA